CCCCCCCCCCCCCCCCCCGAAAATCTGGTAGAGTGCTGAATATTCGTTAACTGTATGGGTCAAAGTTCTGTATGTAAAACTACAGAGCTTTTCAGTAATGCTAAAATAGTCATCGGAGACCCTGCAGATATCAAGGCAGTCCCTGAAATTCAGACCTCAGAACAGCAGTTGATCATTTCAATCGCTGACGATCCTTCATGGATTTTTAATGCCTGGTATTTCTACAATGCATATTAAAAGTAGCTTTTATGGAACAGTAACAAGAAACTGCTTTCTCTGATCCCTGGTCGGAGTGTTTAATATAGTCCAGATGTATCTGTTGAAACGAAATTTAGTCAGATAGGATATAGTTGTGAAACTTTTATATATGAGGAAGGTATCTGATGCACGAAGCTGTTTTGAATAGTTTATTTATCTGTGTTATCTTACAGCATCTTCTTATCAAGCTGCTATCAGCATCAAAGCTTTTGCAGATTTATTTCTGTATTTAGGTCCCCACAGCAACTACATCGAACATCTCAGATTGTCTCTCTCCATTTGAGGGTATGTTCACACCAGCACAGCTGAATAAAGCAGCGGGCTTTGAGAAGTCACTCTCCTGATCCTGGTATACTCTGTGTCTACTCTGACAGCTCTGCAATGGGACATGAAGCCTTACGCTCCTTCAGTGGGAAGTAAAAGGCAGACTCGCAGCCAAGAATAAGACTGGAAAATGCCCTCAACTCACCTCTTTTCCTTGGTGTTTCACCCTAAGAGACAGTTTGACAGGTCTTTGGTAGCGTGGCTTCCGAGAAGTCTTACTGATGGGAAACACAAACCTGGGGAAAAGAAAAAAAAAAAAAGCTGTTTTTAACTCCAGCTACATTTATCGATTGGTTTTGTGTCAGTCGTCTTCTCCAGCACAGCACAGGGGGTGCCTGAGGCCCGGAATGAGCAGCTGGTGTGGCCGAAGGGCAAGGCTGTGTTACTTTTGGCAGCAGCGCCGGCAATAGCTGGCTGGAAGCATTTGTGAAATTATGGTCTGTTGGGGGCACTTCTGGTTTATGCTGACATGTGTGCAGGCTGCCACCAAAACAGGCCCTTTCACTGGCTCATCCTGGCATTGGTGTTTGTTCGGCTGCAGGATCAGCTGGCTGCCAAAATTGATCCTGGTGAAAACTTTTCTTTTTTAAACCGGATTAGCTTTCAGCTCTGTTGGCAAGTGGATCTAGCCTAACATGTGGCTGCATGAATGTTGGAGCCAGTGAAGAAGAGACATCAGGAAAACATGACTAAGGGAAGGGAAAAGGATGGAATTATCTCTTTTGCCAGTAGCGGTCTCAGCTTGGCTTAACCCCCAGTGAATCTACCTCTCAAGGTAAAATTACCTGTTACAGCTTGAGTCACATTAGACTTGCTTCCACAGAAAGAGAAAAATCTTGTTCCTCTTTTCCTCTCCTCTGATGTTAGACCTGGTGATTGTCTAATCTTGCACTGAACTGGTTTAACTCGTTGAATCAGCAGAAAACTCACCCCAGCAAAGAAAAGGGAGTAGCGTTCTGCTGGCCTAGCGGGTCAAATCAGCTCAGTAAAGCATCTGCCAAGGCTGGCAGAGGTGGTGCAGGTGAGGAGGGTGGTAGCAGTCAGCTCTGAGGTCGCTAACTGAACCCACAGCAAACAGCTTAAGTTTCAGAAATCTCCTGTCCTCTGGGTTCTTTCTGTAGTTTAAAGATGACAGTAGGCACTATCCCTTTGTGTTACAACCAACGTGGTGTTTGTCTCATAAAGCTGGAAGTCGCCACTATGTTATAATTTCCTCCAAACTCCTACCCCTGTAATTAAAACTCTCCCATGGGTAAGTGGCATTTATCCTTACACTTCCCTTCAAGACGGGCCTCTCCTTTCAGCCTAGATTTCCCTTGGATTTGTTTCCTTGTCAGACAGGGAAATATTGCCACAGATCTACTACTGCTCTTTTCCATCAGCTGGAACTTTTCTCTGAAGCTTCAGCAAATGGCCTCTGATGCTGCTTTGGGAAGACACTCTGTGGTCTCAGATGTGGGAATGTAAGCCCGTAAGCAAACTGCTATTGAGAAACCTCTATAAACGACAATGAGTTAAAAAGAGTATAGAAAGGTGGACTTACATGTGTGCAAAACAGTTGGTCGTGTGCAACTCTTATCAGTCAGACAGAAGTAGTAAAATGCTCAAATTACATTTGATCATGCTCAGGACAGCCATGGTACACTTAAGTATGGTGCTGGCTGGGCACTGTCTCTCTATGCACCAAGCACAGAAATCCCGTGGTCTTCTTGCCCGGAAGTTGGAGCTTTCATCTTTGACAGGAGAAAGCCCAGACAAGGAGGGACAAGAACATTTTTAAATGGTCCTAATGAAGAGGAGATATCCTAGGCAGGCAGGCATTCACTCTTATGCCCATACAGCTCCTTCTTCATTTATAAGGAGACAGAGTAGGACCAGCCCAAAGAATTAATGGAGAATAAAATGTACTCTAAAAATGTATCAGGAAAAAAGCTATAGGAGAAATATATTAACTTAATAATGAGTGGGGAATCTCAAATGCTATTTTGTTGTGAATATCTTTAACCGTAAAATTACAGAGAAGAGAGTAGAATCAGGAAATTCTTGATACAAAAATGGTTGTTGGGAAAGTGTAGACAAGGGGTATTTGGAAAATGTAAATGCGCAAGCAATGATGTATCACTTGAATGCTATTTGGGTAGCTGAGGAATGGATTAAGCTATCACTTTTCAAAAACTACCTGGAATTACTTGTTTTTAATAAATGGCAAAGAAGATGCTGGACAATTAAGAGGAAACAAGCAGGACACTGAAATGCACTAAAAAGTCTGCGTGACTTTGGTGCAGCAGCTCTACCTTCTGGAGCCACTCTCCGGTAGACAGTGGATGAAATGCCCAAATGTGTGAGCTCTCTGAAAGAGGTTTTCAAAAATACTTGTCCTTGTTGAAACTGTTCCCATTGAGTCCAGCTGAGAGGGCAGGCCAGCTTGGGTGAAGGCAGCAGGAGGGAAGGTGAGGAAGAGGATTCCTAAACAATCGGAAGAAAGACGTTAGATGTGTGATGGAGCTTCCTTTGATAAAAATACAGTCTAGCCTGTGACGCTACTTGTGTGGGTAGTCCTGAAGGTGAATAGTCTGTCTCGCCTGTGCCGATGAGTGATGTGACTGCAGTGGGTGAGTGAAGAGCAGGGGAGTGACAGGGACGCGGCAGGCAGAGTACACGCATTTTGGAACAGCTTTTGATGTAATGTTTCACAATGTCTTAGCTCAAAACTAAGCTCACCTCACTTTCAAGACCTGTTGTTACGTTGACTGAGAACTAACAGAAGGACTGCATAAAGGTTACGAATCACAAATGGTCTCCGCAGTCGCACCACTTCCAGCCACAGTTTCCTAGTCCTGTGACCAGAGGGTCTTCCCAGGCAGACGCGGGGTCCCTCCTGCTCCATCTCTCTGGGACTAGTCGGTGTTATTGAGGGAGACCAGCATAGGTTTGACAGGCCAATTACCTACTAGGAAATGGTACAGCCAGTACAGCAGTAAAGCAAATAGGAATGGGTCTCCATCCTTTTATCAAGCACATAACCTGGCTGAAATGATGGGGTTTTTTAATAAGTGCTTTCAGGAGGTGGAAGATGCTCTGCAGGATTGCCACCCAGCCAGTGCTTCTCGTCAGGCTGCGCATCTAGCGCCTGCGAGCTGCGGTCTGAACTCCAATTTAGCAGAGTTAATAAACAACCGAAACCCATCACCATCTCGGCGGAGAAGCAGGCAGTCTGCTCGGGCTGCAGACCCCGGCCACCGGCTTAGGCAAGCAGCACCCACCGCCTGCCTGCGAGGCCGCCCGTTCCTCTCCCCTGGCAGCCCCGGGGGCTTTCCCTGCCGCTCACAGGCAAGCGGAGGAGGAA